CGTTACGTTTACATTCATCTAAATATATTAGAAATTATACATTACACTCCTGAAAATTATAAAATTCCTTAGCTAGAACTGAACTAATAGGTAAAGCATCCATTCTAAATCGATTAATTTTTATTCTAGTATCCTTTTCTTTTTATTCGTTTAAATAAATAATTTGAGAAATCATATTTTTTATATGAATGCAGACAAATGTGAACAAAAATATAATATTTTATTATCATGACTGTATATTAAAAAATTTAGCGAAAAAAATTTTTTTTTCAAAAAATACATGTACTTATGTGTTCTAAGATATCAATAGAGCTCTTTTTGTAGATGGTTCATTGAATTATTTGAACGAATGTTGCTTTCATATACAATTATTTATAGATAACTGTAATATATATATTTATAAAATTATAGTTATGGATTTTGTAGTATTTTTATGAATTAAATTAATGTTAATGATGATATATAAATTTTTCATTTTCAGAGAATTTTTTCTGTTAAAAAATATGCAAGTATATAGGAATTATGTGCAATTCATAAAAAAAAATAAAATAATGAGTTCTGAAATATTTTGTTTAAGTCACACTAACAATGAAATAAGACCTGTTCTGAAAAATGTTATTTCTATATGTGTATTCTTTTTATTTTAACAGCAAGACACAAAACAATTTTTAATGTTGAATGTATCCGAATTTATAACTTCGCTACTTGTTGCTAATGGTAAAATATATTTCTTATAAAGTATATTATTAATGAAAAAATCGTGCATTTATATTTTAATATTATATAAAATATTGAGTGCTTATATATCTGTACCATTAACATTATTCTGTAAGTATTGAAATTACAATGTTACACATGAAGATAAAGAATAAAATAAGCTTGAATTATGTGTTAGTTTATTTTTGTATTGTAAAAAGGACTTGTAAATAAAATACCCATTTAATAATTAAAATAAATCAAAGTCTGCATAGCTCAAATGATAGATACTTATGCTTTTACTGTGCATATAAAATTTTATTATTCATCTAATATAATATAGATTTAGATTGTACATAAACACAGTATAGGTACAAATATACATGTAAAATTAATTATATAGGTAATTTTGTTGTTTATGAGAACAATATATTATTTTTTCTTATTATCATTTCTAGGTTACTGTATATTAACACTTTTATTTTTTTTTTTATATCAATGTCTTCTTGTTATTCAGATGTGAATCGTGATATAGTGTTATTATAAAAATACTAAATCTTTGTATAGGACAACTCATTTTATAGTTACAAAATTATTTAAAATGTACTCAAACTATTTATATTTGTAAAATTATATCTTTTTTAAACCCTCTGATCTTATTACTTATACAGTGGTTGTAATATTAATACCTTTATTACTCTTCCGCTTGATTTCATTGTTCCTTGTTAGGGGACCGTTATACACAGTAATTATTTCAAGTGATTGGTAGTATTTTACTTATAATATGTTAGTGCATTAAGGAATAAGAATAATTTCTGAAATATTTAGTACTTATTTGTCTTCAGTTGAATAGAGTAATTTGTTTTTAACACACTGTTTTTTCCTCGTATGTATACAGTACTTATTTGGAGCTGTAAATACACTACTTTTATGTTTTCTACTTTTATTTATTAAATTAAATCCATATCGCATGTCCCTATAATGTAAAAAATGGTTCACTTGATTTTATAAATTTTTCTTTAAGCATATTCTATGTTATGTTAGTTAAATACATATATCTATTTTTTTAAAAATTGTACGTTCTTTTTTAATAATATCTAGTGCTTTAATATTTTCATACTTCTTTTAATTTATGTTGGATAAATTATCTTTTTAAATATATTACATATTTTAAATAAATTATTTTATTATATGCATGTTCGTTTATTTCCCTATAAGATGAGAATTAATGAGGTTTTATTTTCATTGTAATGTAATTAAAAGTTTAATGAATTCGTCTAATATACTTTTTGTATAGTTCAGAACACCAAAATTTTTTTTTTAATTTCTAACTGTAGCTTTGCAAAAATATTAATTATTAAATATATTTTTTTTAGAGAATTTGGTAAAAATATTTTTTTCCTCATAAAATGTGATGGCGTGAAATCATCTTAGCGCACTGTGTGAACTTTTATCAGAAAGAGCCCATTTTTATTTACTATATGTATTGAGGATCATATTTGAATTAATTGTGATAAATTCATATTTGTCATTTCATCCTTATGCTATTACCGTAACAGACATGTTAATAGGTGATGATAAAAAAGTGTCAAGCGGTGTTGCGTTAAAAATACTATAAATGAATGTACCATAGGATATATGTTAAAGAATATTTGAGTAACATAATGATCCTATGTACTTCGTAAATTTCATTTTTTATACATACAACATAAATATCTTTTACATTGGGTATGTAAAAAACACAATTGAATAAAAATAAACTTTTACATTACTCATATGCGATTGGGAAATGGAAACAAAATTACATTTCATCTATGTATTCATTATGAAAGTAATTTATTTCTATATTTTTTGCTTTATTTTTGTGTTAACTTATACATTTATGAAGCTTATATCTTTAGAATGTTCTATCATTTCATAATTTAATGTTTAAAAAAACAAAATGATTGTTTGTATTAAAATAAAACGGCATATTAATAAAGAAGTATGGGAATTATAATTTTTTTAAGTAAAAATATATTTCATGTTTTCATGATTATTTAAAAAATAATTAAGTGTAAAGCCTTGAAAGGGCAAATTTTTTTTAATTATATTTTTTTCTCCTTTTTATATAATTCTAATTATAAATAAGGATCTGTGTTTCCTACAGAAAATAAAAGAATTTTATTTACTTAAATTTATAATTTACTCTATTGTCTTTATTTGCATGCAAGGGAATAACATAGAGAAACATTCGTATAGATATTATCAGACAAACAAATTCTGTCATGTAGCTATTGAATGTATTTTTTCTTAATATTATAGGTTATTATTATTTATACATTGTCATAAACGCAGTGCGATAAACTTTTATATTTATATATGTATGAATAAATCTGTAATTTCTAGGGTAAAATATAGAAGCCAAAATTTATTTAAAATTCATAAGAAATAATAAAAATATAATAAAAATAAAATACTGTTACATGTTAAGAAGTATATGATAATTTATATTTTAGCCTATACAATAGTGTATATAAAAATAAAGATTCAATAATATTTAAAAATGATATACATTTTTTCCATTATGTTGAGAATGTTTGATTATTTAAAAATATGTATAAAAATATTTATTCCTTATTAGATTATATTGCGAAAATTATATAGATATCATGTTATCTGTATATAACCTCGAAAACTATTTCCACAAAAGAATATCCCGCGTATATTTTACATATATAGTGTACAATAAATTTATTTTATAATGTTTATGCGCTTAATTATAATGTAATTTATATTCTTAAACAAATTCTATATATATGAATTATCCTAACTATAATAAATTATGATAATGCATCTAAAAAATTAACATATTTTTGCACTATGTTAAGAGCTTATATAATCTTAAAAATTAATTAAATTATATAAACTTGTGCAGTAAATTGGATTGTATTAGGACATTTATTACGTATAAATATAAATTAAGATAAAAAGTTAAAAAAATATAAATTCATATTACATAATTTTTCGATAATTCGCAACTTCTCATATATTTATGTTCATCTATTATTCTATTATATAATTCTACAATACTTTAATTATTAAAGAGTGTTTTTTTTATTACTCTTTTATGCGTAAATTATATTAAGAAAAAATTACATCTATATTCTGTTCAATTTATAATAAGGTTTATAGTACTTATAGTTTTTATTTGCATTTATATTTTTGACAAACAGTTATTATCTATAAAATGAATATAAATTCATCTATATTAATACACATAACTAACACACTATGAACAAAAAATGATATAAGTATATATATTTATACATATACAAAAAATATGTGTATTAACAGATTAAAAATTATAGTATATATATTAAAAAGTAAAAAAATTATTACTCAAATTACAAAGAAATTATACGAATATTTATTTAATATTTTGTAAAAATATTAATAATTCCTTTCATATTTTATAATTTATATATTAATATTTGGTGAATATTTTAACGTAAAATATATGATTATTATATGTATTTTTCATACTACCAACTAAATAATAATTAATGTATAATAAAAAATATATGTTTTTCATATGAATCATATTTTCATAAAATTCTCATATATATGTATGAATGTATTAAATATATTTATATGAAGTACAATTTAAATAATAAATGTTTAATTATTTTTGTTATAAAAAATGTATTAAGTTATAATACATCAGGAATATATGTATTTTAGTGTTCTAATAACATTAATGCAGTAAAAATATGTGTCATGCCTCATAAGAGTATTTAAATAAAACATTGAATTAAGATCTGTTTTATAAAATATAATATTCGAATTGATCATTTTTTTAATATTTACTTTATTAAAGAATTATGTAATATATTATCATATATTATGTTACTTTATATTTATATTTTATTTAAAAAATTTTTTTTTTCTTTCTTCATAGAATTAATAGTCAATTAACATATTTGCAGGTGACATTTTATAAAAATATTAGTGTACTATGGATGAATATTCCATATGTTAGGTGCTTATTATAATAAATAATAACTTCCAATAAATTTTTATATTATTAAATCCTAGTATTTTTTACAACAGTAATTATATTTTTTTACCTTGTTTATTTCATAATAGATATCTCATTTATTACATCGAGTTACATCATTTTTAGGAATTAATTTTATTATTATTTTTACAGACTTCTTTTTTTGCAATTGTATTTTTTTTTTTTTTTAAAATGATGCATTTGAAAATATAAATATTTTTTAAAAAAATATATTCTGTATTCATTAATAGACATTATTATATTCTTAGCATTCTGCAAGATTATACAATAACTGATAATTATTATCTGTTAATTTTTTATATTCTTTTTCAAATGTTTCAAATAATTTATCTTGTTTTTTTTTTCTTCTGTTCCATAGACTGATTAACTTTTTTACAATTGGATATACATATGAGCCATAAGGTGTGTACTTAAAGTATGAGAAAAAAAATTACATATTTATTAATAATTAATTTAATTAGCACTTAAATAATATATTAATTTATATTATATATTCTAATAATATGTATGTTTTATTAGCTTAATGCTTTATTAACCTTATACAAAATAAATATTATTAATGATGTTATAGATGCAAATACAATCAATGATGCAACTGTCTTTAAAATGTAATGTGAAATTTTAATGCCAATTAAGCAATCACGTAATTTTATATTGTATTGAATATATTGATCATTAACTGTTTCCAGAATGTTTTTCAAACTATCGTTATTGATAAAATCTTGCAACAATAGCATGTACTTATCAAAACTTTCACTATCGGTAAGGCATGTATATGTTCCATTTCTAATTAATTCTAGTTCCTTATACAGATTATCCAAATTCTGAAATATACTAAGTATATTTTCACGAATATTTTGAGAATAATTTTGGCATATATCGAATAGATTATTATTACCATTTTCCTTTGATATAGTTTTCATTTCATTGTAACAATTACTTTTTTCAATACAAGCATATTTTTTATTTATTAGTTCATCGTTTAGTTTATAGAAGAAATATTTACAGTATGTTTCTCTATTATTTTGATCTTTTTCTTTTATGTGACTTAAATAGAGACAAAGATCTTCACAAATGAAAGTAAAAGTAGGATCCTCCTTATGTGCTATTTTTTTGCTTATCTGTCTGCACATACTCTTGTAAAGATTACGCTTAGATAAATTATTCACTCCTATAGCAGAATTATACTCATCCATGCATGTGGGATATATACCCTTAAAATCAAACTAATTGAAAAATTAATTATATATAAAAATTTTTAAAAGGTTTTTGAGAGAATATTTTTTAATTCTTTTTTTCCAAATATTGATATATTAAATTATTTATCATTAATAATATTTTTAATAAAATATATAAAAATACATTTATATAAGACATTATATTGTATAGAATAATTTTTATATGTTAATTAATAGACACAATATTTTTATTTATTCTATAATAAATTTATGTGTTTAAAGTACCATATTAAATATAATATTTATAACATATAGATTGTATTTTATAATAATTTATATTTATATACAGTGTTTTGACATATATATATTTATTACATTAATTATATATATTATACTATGCCAATAGTGCTCATTACGTTCAAGAGAAAAAAAACTTTTAAATGAATGATTTATAAAAAATATTGGCCTCATAAATTTATAATTAAATAATGATATAATATTTTATATATTAAACACTTGTAATAACGTTATATACATATATAAGTGGTATAAAATATATATGCATTAATAAATTAAATTGAATAGTGGTTCTTATAATTAAAGAGGTTATATTATCACATTTATTTTTTTTTAATTTTTATTGAAATTTTAATTTAGTTGTAAAATGCTTATAACCTTCACTTTCGTGTTTCTTAATATATTGGTAATTTCAACAATGGATTATTTATGAAATTGCATTTCTTGCTTGATATTGCAGTTTTATGTTTCATATAAATTAAATATTCGTAAATAATGAAAAAAAAAATTTATGGTATTACAATTTAATTAAATCTTTATTTCTGTCTAATATATACTCTTAAGTATATAATTATTACCGCAATAACCCCTGTAAAATTCAGAACTAAATTTCTTTCTTTTTATTCTATAATTAGGAAAATATATTACTTTAAATTTTTTAATTGAATTCATGCATTTTGCATGCTTACTTGTTTTAATATTATGGAATACATAGAATGAAAAATAGTTATTATTTACATTAGCTATTATATGTATAAATAAAATCAAGAAAATAATTTTTTATATTTATAATATATAATATTTGAATCTCTGATTGAGCTTTAATGCATGTATTGTAATAAAAAAATATTAAAATGCATTTTTATATTTTGTGGAAGTTATATTAATTGTACTTATAATATTTAAGATATCATAATAAATAATTCGTTATATTTTCTGCTAAAATGTATGATTATTCTTCTACATTACGCTATTTCTTTTCATATTATTAGTAGAAACAATATATTCTAATAATTTTTATCATATATGAATATACAATATAAATCACAATAAAAAAAATAATTAATCGATAAAATAAATTTGGTTGTGTTTTTATAATTACAGATTTCATATAATTGTATGTGTTCTATGAATAAAATTATAATATTAATGCTTATGATTTATATATATAAATGTAATATTTAATTAATCATATATTAGAAACAAAATGAAAAATGCACAATAATAGTACATGTTTTTTTATAACTAAAGAATAATTGGTGTAATGTTTTTTAATTTCCGGAGATTTTACTTAATTATCCGTATAATTCATAATATATATTTAAACATTTTTTTAAAATGATTTTTCATTCGTAAATAATAATTATATAATATATTTTTATTTTGTACTATAGTAACGTGCTTGTATTCAGTAATAGTGAATGATAACAAAAAAAAAAAAAAAAAAAGAAATTTAATAAATAATGTGCTTTTTATTTTGTGAGTATTATATAAATCACATTAAAATATATAAATTATTAATTTTTTTAATTAATAGAAGTTAAAATAATTAGTGTATGTAACTATTTTTAATAATACTAATTATTGAATAGATTAAAATGTTATTTAGTAGTTAATATCATGTTACTCTAGGGGACACATGAAAAGAAAAAAATATATGCATGTGTCGCTCTTAGTGTTTAGGGGTTCAGAGTTTTTATTTTAGGGTTTATAGTTCAGGGTTTAGTTTTAGCTTTTAGAGTTTAGTGTTCAGAATTCAGGGTTTTTTTTTTTTTTTTTTATTATATTAATGTTATCTAGATTTTTTGTTCATGGGTTCTAGTTTCCTTTCTGGGATTTAAAAATCGCAATTATTATGCAATTATTATTGTATTTATATGTATCATATTATGAATATATTCAATGTTTATTTTATTTTTTTTTTAAGGATTTTATCATAAAATTTTTATTATTTTAATATTTTTCTATATATGGAATGCGTGAACTCTATGAACAATCAAATTTGCTTTGCGTTCTCATACTCTATTAGAAGCATTGTTGGATCGATGAAAAATATATAAATTCTGTGTGATGAACATTTTGAATTTTTGACATATGACAATCTATAATAAATAGGATATATGCAAAATTTAATTGGATATATTTTCTTAGTAAAATACATATTCGTTGGAGAATATTATTTTTTCGAATTATTTATTTAATTATTCATAATGTTATTTATGTATATGTATGAATTTTTACAGAATATACATATTTTATGAATGTCCATATATTATATTTAATCGCTATACAATGAATTTATATTTTGATAGGTAACAATTTTTGTTTATTGTGCCATATTTCTTATTCTAAAAATATGTTGTATAGGTTATAATATATATTCGTTAGCACATATTAAATATAGGGAAAATGCTTTTGTATAATAACACATTATTAAACAGATAAATTTGTTTATATATTGTTATTTTAAAGATATGCGGAATATATTACGCTTGTACTGCGATAGCTATTTAAGAGGAATTAAATCATGAAAATTTTACTATTATATATATTTTAAATAAATATTATAATAGCTATTTCTTTATTAACTTATTTTCAATATTTATATAAATTAATTTTAATTATTAATTAATATATGCTTACACTTTCTGTCATGCATTACATATGTTATTAATAAAATTAAAAAGAATAATAAACATATGGATCTGATATTTTTTTCTTTATTGGAAAAATTTTTATAATATAAAATATTCAATGGGATGTATAGTAAAATGTGTAAATTGTGTAAAAATAATAAAAAAAATCTCTCTAATTATTTTATGTATATAAAACCATAGAAAATAGTCAAATACATTAGGAGCAAATAAAAGGACAAATTGAATATAAAGAAAAGTAGAACAGATAAATAACATGGACCATCCACATATGTAGAGTAATTTTTCACTTGATAATTACAAGAAATGAACTTAT